ATCATTCAACTTAGGCATCATTTGTTATTCTTAAAAAGTTAAAGCAGGTTCTTTTTTCAGCAGCTATTCACACAACTCAAGCCAATCTTTTAAAAAGTTTATTATATTGCAATGTCACTTTTTGGCATGAAGGCAAGACTCACTAAGTGCTATAAAGACACTATCCAAGTAGAAAGGATGATCTGGTACAGTGGAAAGCATCCAATTTAAATGTGAGTGCACACTTTGAGCATAATGTCAAGTGCAAGAAATGAGGAACTGGAGTTGTTCAAGTTTAATCCATGCTAGCTGTTACAAGAAACTGAACTACTAGTAATCAAGGCAAATTGGTAATAGATAAGAGTCAAAGGAATTCAAGGAAGGCTGGACTTAGATCTCTTGTGGGTGCGAAGGGACTCCAAACTGATGATGTACTTGACTCCTGCCTTGGGCTCAGCCCTGTCATTTCCTACATATACAGTATTTTATTCTCAGCATTTGCTATGTTTCTAAAGGCACCTCTACACAATTTCCCTGACAAAATATTTGAAGTTGAGCTGTAATTCTTCTTACAGCAGCACTGGAAATGTTAAAGAAATGTAGGGAACTCACATTCCACTGCACACAAAACGAATAAAATAAATTGCCAGTGTACTTAACTCTTTGTTATATGAATGTATCTGGGTTGGTTTCAAAACAATCTGAGTGATTGCTATGAGGGTAAGCTTGCTGCAAATATACTGTTATTTCGTGGCATTTAAAAGCCTCCTGCAAGTCCCAGTGGTAAAATAGTAACATGTTAGTTTTTGCAACCCATTCTTTTCCTAATAGCTCTAATTATGTTTAATGTTCTAAACACTGCTTATAAGAAGGAACAAATGTCCCAAATCTGGGAATATTGAGAAATCAGTCCTTTCTTTATGAAAGAACTGAAGAGATTGAGGCCCATTGATTTCCTCACAATGCCTTAGACTTGGAGGTCTTCTGCAGCTAAGCCAATCTACTTCTGACTCTGGGGAATTCTGGGAGTTGAAGTCCTCCAGGCTTAAAGTTGCCCTGCTGTAAATTACTTACATCTTTTTGGGGTAACATTTTAATGAATGGTACATAAGTAGATGTGTGAGGGGTCAATGTGCCTCAATCTGCAAATAGCACTGTTTGCTTTGGGACTTGATAAAGCCCTGGCTGAGTTAAACCAAAGGAACTGGGATCTGGACATCCAAAATGACGATACCAAACTCTTGCCATCCCTTTTATAGCACAAACATTGCTCTTTCCTGGTCTGTTCCTAGGTATTTTATAAAATCTCATGTTCCATGACTATTTACTTTGGCACAAATTGAGGTTGAACCTATTAAGGCAATAACTGGTAGGTATATAAGCCTCCCATAAGAAAATTTAACTTGTTTGTGTTCAGACTTGGAGACAGAATGTATCTCATGTGCTATTATCCTTTATACAGCCAATGGCAATAAGGTGTAATGCTTCCAATTCTTAGTAACCCTCATTGCCACCAGGAGAATGTTACCCTAGCATTGATGTTGTTACCTAGTTTGAGTAATGAAACATCTGCAAGAAAACAACCAAGCTCAGAGAGCACCAAGGACCTCAGACTGTTATTCTTCTCCTAGGCTCCTATTCTTCCGAGAGCTCCAAGGAAGTTGCAGAATTCTTATCCAGAGCTCTTAGTAACCATCAGGCTCCTCTCTCGTGCTATTCATTGCTAGATTTATTTATTTATTGCTAATTGCTTTAGGATTTTCTCACAATTTTATAGCTATTGTATTGTATGCCAGTCTTTTATTATGTTTGATCTATAAATAAATGGACTATGAATAAATTTTGCTTTGTAAATTGATAGAAGGAATTACGGTTATACTGAGCACAGGTGAATTTCCAAAATACTTACACTAGGAAATGGAAAAGTTCTGTTATTCCAGATACTAAGATTTGTAATTTATCTGTGTTGGAAATTATATTTTTTACCAATCAAAAATGATGCAGCACTACAGATAATCCTTTACTTACAACACTTTGTTTAGTGACCAAAGCTTTAACGACACTGAAAAAAGTGATTTATGACCATTTTCACACTTATGACCGTTGCAGCATCCCCATAATCACCAGATTCACACTTGGATGCTTGACAACTGGTTCATATTTATGACGGTTGCTGTGTCCCAAGGTCACCTTTTGCAATTTTCTGACAAGCAAAGTTAATGGGGAATCCAGTTTCACTTAACAACTGTATCACTAATTTAACAACTGCAGTGATTAACAACTGTGGCAAAAAAGGTTGTAAAATGGGGCAAAACTCACTTAACAAATGTCTCACTTAAGCAACATAAATTCTGGGCTCAATTGTGGTTGCAAGTTGAGGACTACTGTATATATTTTATTTGGGACAAATTTCACCATATTATATGACAGAGCATCATTGTTATTTTTTTGGGGGGGAGCAGGGTTAAACTAGTGATTTCTACCTATGTGTGCATACACACACACACTATTGAGTTTATTTGGGGGCTCCTTTTTCTACTGGAGATTCTAATTTTTTAAAATTCTTTGTTTATTGGTTCTTTTTAATTCATTTAATATGATTATTTACATTTTATATTTATTTCCTATAATTTTATTATAAAATACAATGGGTAAACTCCCCCCCCTCCCCGCAAATGATTTATTTCTGGTTCAGCTGCTTCTCCAATGGAAATGTTGCAAAAGTAATGTAACATCACTACCTTTACAGTTGCAAGATCAGTGATTCCACTTTGATGCCCACTTTCTTCCAGTTAACCAGATTTCATTCTGTGTTCTGGAGTCAGGCATTGTATGCTCATCTCTATAGATTCTAAGGTAGCCATTTTGGTCTGTTCTTGAGAGTTTAGGCTAGGGTTTGGAGTGTCAGAAGATCTCTCAAAGGATGGTGAACACCTCAAAAACAGGCTCTGTAATCTGATGATGTGCGTAATCCAAAACTAAAGATAGCAGATAACTTCTGTTTCATTTTGACAGTAGAAGTAACTAAACAAGTCAGGACCCATTGGTCATGGAAACATCATTTCAGAATTATTTTCTTATCTAACATTTCTACAGGCCCTTGCACCGTCCTCAACTTTTGCTTCACCTCCCCCACATTCTCATACACCCTCCCTGACTTATACCACACGCAATGCAACTTCCCTAACCTCTGCAATATCTCATGCATTTTTGTGCACTAAGCCTCTTGTACACCCCCTTGCCTCGAGAACTTTCACAAATTTCACTAGACCTCTTAAACAGATCCTTGCCCGCTCCCCCACTTGACAGCAACCATTTACCTGCTTTCTGATCTTGGATTTGCAACTTTCTGTTAGCTTTCTCACTGACTTGTGGCAGTCTGGCAGGGAGCACTGGAAATGACAATCACATGACCATGAATGACTGACAGTATAACAGCTCTAAAGCAGCCACAACTTTCCGGAATCCAATCCCATGGGAATAATGGTTTCTGGATTTAGTATGCATTCTTTAAGTTAGCCCATTTGAGGTATACTGGTTGAAAAATTATTGCCCTGTGATGCACAGTTTCATTCAACTGAAGGTTGTAAACAAACACAAGAGTTTTAGTATTATATAGATAAATATCACTTATACTGTCCTCTATTTTACAGTTCTTAATCCTGACTCATCGAGTTTTCCAGAGGATGAAGAATGTTGCCATGACTATCACAAGACCAACATTTTTATATCACTTTTATAACTGTTTTACGTCACTGTTTCCCATTATATCCAGCCATTATGGCCATCCATAATGGAGAACTTCCATCAAAAACAGTACTTAATTAGTTCCTGCTTGTCATCTGTATACTGATACCTTACATATGCAGTCCACTCCTATGTGTTCAGCCTTAAGTTCCCAAGTACACAATATTCTTAATATTTAAATGGATTCAATCCACATAAGTTCCAACTCTACTCAGAGTCTAATTACAATCCAGTTTTAACAGGATTTGTGGGCCTGTGAAACTATAGACATGGGTATTTATACTGAAAACTAGGTATCGCTTCAGCACCATGATCAGTTTATTATGCGATACCTCTCTGTTCCAGAGTGCTTAACACTTAAATTCTGGAAACACTGCCTAACAGGAAGAACAATTTGATAATGGAACCAATTACTAAATATGATCAAGTGGAAGATAGCCAGCAATTGGTCAATTTAACTTTGAACACAATTGACTGAAATATGTTTCCAATTCCAAGCTCAAAAATAATATTAAAGAGAAAATCAAAATGATTTGACTTTTGCCTCAAAATCAGGAGACAATGGCCTGATGAAATAATAATTTCTCCAAAAAAATATAGTCTTACCATCATACTCAAGAAATTTCCACAAGCAAACCAAGAATAATCACACTAGAACATGCTTGCTTTTATTTAAAATTACTTAAATAGCTTGTGTACAAATTAGGTTTCTGTCTAATAGTCAATCATAACTTTGTGAATAAAATGTTGAGATTCAGAGGAATAATCAATGGCACAGAAGATATTCAAAAGGCTATTTTAAGAATTAAGCAAGGTGAATCCTTGCTAATCTAAAATGATAATCCTGCCCTAATGTGACCTTTCTGTGTATCTGAAATTACAGGTGAAAAAATAGATGGCGATGAAATACACTATTATATATTGTCATTCCAGGTTTAGTTTCTAAGTAGATCCATAGTGAATATCTTATGGTTATTTAGTTTAGTAGTTAGTGCCTTCCTTCCTTCCTGCCCTGTATATATATGACAGAAAAAGATTCTTGGGGAGAATTTAAAGTAAGGGTAGTAGCAATTCTGATTTTGGCATGGCCTTTTCCAATGCAAGAATCATTTCAAATACTGGCAAAACAAGCAAGAACACAAAATCAATTATACATAAAATATTAGTGCATACATTTCCCCCACCTCCTGTGATTACTGGCTACAAAGAAAGCAAATTACGATTGTACAAAATTTAACGAAATATTATTTTTCACTATCCCCTGTGTTGTGCTTATAGCCCAGTTTTCATTATAGACATCACTGGCTCTTTTACAGCAGCAGAGACGAGTGTTTTTTCAGTCAGTAGTTTAATCCAGCTACATCATCTCTTTGCTTTCTTTTTCTTCTTTCTGTTCTGCTCTTCACTGCTGTCCTCAGCTTCACTAGCAGTTGGTGTGGGTTCTTTTCTTATGATTGTCTTCTCTATCTTGTATTCTTGTTCTCCTACCCTGGGGTTTCCTTTTACAATAAATTCACCATTCTGGTACATTATGGAAACATCCGTCTTTGGATACGTGCCATAGACTCTTCTGAGATCATCTTTCACAAAGTCTGGCAAGTCCCTCCTAGGCCCCACAACACGTTCAAGCCTACCCCAATGGAGCTGTCCTCTCAGAACAAAGCCTTCAGGCCACAGATCCCAGCTTGGTCTCTGGAATGCCATTTGAGGACGATAGTTACTGTAAGGCTGGTACAGAGGAACAGAAGCCACCTGGGGAAAGTGCCAGAAAGGATAAGGGTAAAAAAAAGGGCTTGGACCATAGATGTGATGGTACTCCATCTGGTTGGATAAACTGTCATTGTAACCGTAGTCCATGTTATAGTCCATGATAGCAAGAGGCTTGTAAGTGTTGTGCATCGGAACCTGGGGCAGGAATGCATAAGGACAATTCTGAAACATACCAGGATAGTACAGAGCCATACTGGTAGATGGTGCACACAGCTTCTTCTTAACCCAATGTTGCTTTTTCATGAAGCATTTCACTTAGGTTTTTTCTTCCACACTGTGAGGATAAAGCAAGAGATGCTGAACTTCTTGAAAACATAAATAGTTCGTATCTATTTATCAACTCTAAATATTTAGAAAAATTGCATGTAAAGTATATACATTTTTTAAAATGAAATTTGTTCAGGAGCAACATTTATAACACACCAAGAGATTTCCCCCCCCCTTACAAATAATGATTTCATAATTAGTTCTCTAAACAATTTATTATGGTACTTCAATAGCTTTGAAGCTTGTTGAGACAAGTTCTGTGTACCTACGATGTTGTACCATGGTACGGGGAGTGATGTAATGCAAAGCAATACTCAGATTTATATATTGGAAAACATAGGCCAGAGGCTACATTTTTAAATGTACTCGGATCCTTTTTTTTTTTTTTTTTGAAGCCATGATTCTGGGTAGAAGAGAATTTCAACTTTGTCCCAACTGTGATCCAAATCAGTTTTTATGTGTACATACATGTACATATATAGGTGGTGATCCTGTTGCACATTAAGCCACCGATTAACTTTAGCTTCCCAAATAAACTATACTTAGATAGGTTTGCATAAGAGATGTGATTTAGAACACACAATTGCTGGATTCACATCAAACGGAAAGCTCCACAGAAGCAACCCACAAAGTAGCTTAATAATACTTGATTCCTGTATCACAGGACCTCCTATATTATGCTTTCCCAATTATGTGCCTAAATGGAAAGCAGGCTGAAGAGGAAAAAAAGCCAGCCACAAGTACTGTGTTTATTTCCAAGAATTGCTGTATATCTCCTGGGTGCCATCTTATAAAATAAAACTGAAAGGGGGAGCAGTCTACCATTCTGATTAAAAAAACAAAAAACAGACAAGGTGCTAGCAAGCATCCAGAGAGACTAAACAGAAGGGACACTAGCAACAAACTAAATTGTCATTTCCAAGGAAAGCAAGGCTTTTGATAGTATTGGTGAAATGTGTTTTCCCTTATAAGAAACAGACGGGAGGGAGCCTGATTACAAACAGCACAATAATGAGGGCAAAATTAAAATCCTCAAAATTGTACCATGGTCCCACTGTGCCTTGGTCTCAACCAACCCTCAGCCATTGCTTATATTAAAAATCAGCTAACATTAATAATAGTAACATTATAAACAATAATAAAGTAATGTTGTTAGTATTTTACAATAAATGTTATGTTTTGCCTGTCCAATTCACACACTGTATTGCATATTTTAATATACCAGAAAATGGCAAATTATCTATGCATCTGCTAAAACAATCATAATCAATTTACTGAAAGCTCATTCTGGCTTTATTTCAGTAACAGAGAGTTGGGTAAGTCAACTCTCAAGCATATTCTCAGGAATTGCATTTGAAGTAAACACTGGTGGCAACTCTCTCCTAATAGAAATACAAATTGCCACCTGAAGCTAAAAAGCAGCCAAAATATTATTTTAAAAAATAAATGAAGTTGGCTAGCTAAAATATAAGGAAACATACAACTTCGTACATATCTTTCTCTTTTCATTTCACTGTCTGCAACACCAAGGAGATAACATCAACTTCCACTGCTAATTTAATATGAGAAATAGACTAAAATGAAAAGTTTACTATCTTTGACTGATCAGTACCCCCCACCCACCCACATTTCACAAGTTCCATGATTAGAATTAGGCTACAGTTATCTGTTTCAAAGTCTGCTTTAGGATTTTAATCTTCACACCAATCTTTACTTTGCATTTTATACCCAACTATGTTTCCCATATAACCTGTGTCTTGAATACAAGATTTCACAGTCTAGAATGAGACACACATAGAGACACACATCAGTGTAGCTCTCTTTAAAGGAATAAAAATAGAATCGAATTCCCCCTAATTCCTGCATTAAAAAGCGAAAGCAACATTACCAACCATAGTAGTGGCACAGCAGCAAGTAAGTTCTGCCCAAGCAATACCCAATAATACATAAGGAAATGCCATAGCTCCTGCCGACCTAGAAGTTTGAAAGTATGCAAGTAGCTAAATTGATACCACTTTGGTGGGAAGGGAATAATGTTTCATGTACCTCAATGTATAGTCATGCTGGCCAAATGACCACAGAAGTGTCTTTAGACAACGCTGGATCCCTCGGCTAGGAAATAGAGATGAGCACCACACCTTAGAGTCAGACACGACTGATCAGGGAAAACCTTTACCTTAACTCTGAATAGTACTCCCTCTCCCTCTCTCTCTCCCCCCCCCTCTCCAGGTTTCAGGTTTTGTTGTCTGGAGAACAGGACAAAGGAATGCATAGCAACCAAATAAACTCTAGAAAGCAGCAGAACATTCTTGCTTGGCATTATCTTAATCTTTTCTTATTGAAATTACTGTATTCTACATATTGTTCCTCCTTGCCCTTTTAAAGTAACACAGTAGCATGGACTCTTTCTACAGTAGAATAAAAGGTACTACAGAGGTAGCTATATTTTATTCCTTCCTTACCCTGTAAAAGAGATTCATTTATCCGATTACTGACTCTTTGTATTACTTACCACATAAGCATTTTATCACCATTTCTTCCTATTTTATTTTGGAATTAGACTATATACATATTGTATTTTATTTTATTAATAAGGTTGCAAGACTAATCATTCAATAAACTACTACTACTAATTCCTTCCATTCCAGGCCATGTTTCAAGATGTATGGTTTCCAGGTGAAAAGAAAAATGGTGAAGTATGGAGATTTCATATTTTTTCCTTTTTTTCTACTCTAGAATTACTCCACTGGAAGTAATGATATCAGAGCACTACATAACCAGCATACAGGTTATACTTTGCTTATATACTACTGAGTTCAACCACTGTCTGTTCATCTTTTAGTCAGCTATAAACTATTCTGGCATGAAATGTCTTGTCCCATAGCATCTCTGTCATGTAGTTGCATGAGGTTGCTATCTTCAGTCACCTGAAATAAATTATAGACCAGTACAACTAACAGCAATTTACATATGGGTCTGAGAGGGGAAGGAGGAAATATCATGAGGACAAAGCTGAGAAAACATAGTGCCAGGATATATTTATGCCATGATTCAGTGCAAACAGGAAATAGACAAGAATTACATTCATTCTCTCCTTCTACTCCCCACCCCCCTGTTCCCCCCCCCCTCAGGGGAAACTAAGAGAGATGCCAAGCATAATCCAACTAAATGGATTATTTAATATTTTAGTAATAATATACATTAAATACAATAAAAAAGTCAAGTTAGCAGTTGCAATGGTGTGATCAAACTTCCTCATCTTCCTCAGGTGAAACTTCAATTGCATCATCATGACTTTAATTTTAAAGATAAAGTTACAAAGCTGAATAAATTCCCTTAACAAGGTTAAGAGAGTTTATCAGGAAAAAATTATAGGTCTTTATAGGTATTCAAGGCTGTAAACAAAGCTATGAAGTTTGAAGTACAAAGAAGCAAATCTCATGCTTCAAGCATTAGTGTCACCTAGCTGGATAATGAAGTATCTGCAGGAAAACAACCAAGCTCAGAGAGCATCGAGGATCCCACAGTATTACTTTATAAAGTTGTGGTTTTATGGAGTTAGTTTTTAAGTTTGACTTTCTCCTACACATGACATTATAGGTTTGGCAACTAACACACTGGGGCCCATTAGTAGGACTATCAAAGGTATTGCCTTAAAAAAATATTATAGCTTCCAATTCTGGGTTGCACAAATCCAGATAAGCAGCCTGTGACAGTAACAACATAAAAAAAAGTAACTGATGGCTGTTCCAGTTTTTACAGCCCAGATCTGAGACTCCTAGTTATTACTGTTTTTTTAATATAAAAAAAAAAAATCATTATAGAAACAAAATTTTAAAAATCAGGAAAAATACACGAAGAGAGAACCAGGAAGGGTAAATTTTCTCAGGACAACTTTGTTAAGCCTGGATTCCCCAACGGGTGTTAAGGAAAACAAACTAAACAGAACGTGCAGCGAAGTCAGATAGGAAGACAGGTAAATGTGTGAGATAAGTTTTCTAGTTAACACGCAGTAAAAATACAGATACGCTTGTGCTATCAAAAATATTGTTTATTCCATTTAAGAATTATAGCATAGTCAAATAACGGTCCATTTGTCATATATCAATTTCAGTCAAGTCTTGTCGGGGATACTCTATTTGCAAAGTCCGTGTTGAACAGCCAATGTCAGTTCACTTACAATAAATCTGTCCAATCTTTATACTATCTCTCCGTTGAGAAAAATCAACACTCCTTCTTCTCTCCCCTTTTCAGCAAGAACGCAGTCATCAATCCATTCAGTAATTAGAGATCAGTAGGCCAGAGAGAGAGAGAGCTGCTATTGCCTCGCTTCATATATAGTGCTTTTACAACCACACCCTTAATTACATTCTTGCAGTTAAAGTTACACACACTTTAACAAACAAACCATGATACCATATTTATTATTTTTACCCAAACCAGTTAGGGTAAACAATGTTATCCCTAACAAACTTCATCCAGGATCAAACTCTCAGTAGCTACTAATACTGGTGATTATTTACTGTCTCATGAATACTGACCAGCAAAAGTGAAAAATGGCTATCACTCCCTTGTCCAGGCTTCTGAGCTTCCAAATATATTAATTGGCCGGTATACGATATTGAAAGCTGGACTAGATGTGCCTATGGATGATTCAACAGGACTATTTGTTTATAACTTATATATGAATTGTCATTTTTCTTTAAGTGTTGGCAAAACAGGATGCAGTTAAACCATATTATAAGATTTGCTGTCCAAATAAATCTTAAGCACAAATCAACCAAGTTTTTTTCTCTTTTGTTCATCCTAGTTTGATGAAATGAACACTGGATATTTCTATTACATTTATTCATGATTAACTGAATCAGGGTTTATTCAGTTAACCTTCTGGCCTAGAATAATAAATCACACTATGCCGTACATTAGCTTATTGCATTGCACAAAATCCACACCTGTAATTCAAATAACATGTTTTGTTTTGGTATCTTCAGATCACTCTTGACTCCTAGCAACTGCCTAGATTAGTCCCTGCCGTTTTCTTGGCAAGATTTTCAGAAATGCTTTGCTATTGCCTTCTTTCGGCCTAGTCTATATGACTGGCCCAAGGTAACACGACTGGCTTTGTGCCTAAGGCAGGACTAGAACTTAGTCTCCTTGCTTTTATCCTGGTGCCTTAAACTGGTTCTCCTAGCAAGCTTATCCATATTCCGTTGGACCATGGTTTATTAATTAATCCAATTTTCTACATTCTAACATTTTACTGATCCACAAACTAGTTGCACAGGATACATTTGCATATTTCAGGTTAAAACGTACTTGGCTAGCTTGTTGTTCAATATACACTTTGGACTCAGCTACTGGCTGAGTCCACAATCTGCTAACCTTTAGATAACATACTGTACAGAATTTATGTAGTTAACATAATTGTAAGAATTTCTACATTACACTGAACCATAAACCATAACCACATTGGTCAAGTTCTCACAACATAGCATTTGGCTAGCAAACTGCAAGCCACCAATAGGTCAATCATCCTACTATTTCATATATGTAGTCTCAGTAATCAGCAGAGACATGAAAGATGTACTCTAATACACTATACTTGAAGTGTACCTAGTACATTTCAACAAGGGACAAACTTTTACTCATTTTCAACAACAAGAACAAAAAAAAAAAATCCATAAGAAATGTTAGAAAAACAAAGCTAATAAAACAATGGATTAAAATTCCCATCTCACCCATTGTCAAAAGCTATGCTAGTTAGAGATTGTGAGAATTACAGTCTACTTTATCTGGAGACCATTAAGGTGGAGGAAGATGCTCTAACCTTGTCTACATAACATTTTCTTATATGTATCCATGTAATTCATAACTATGTTTTTACTTATACCTATCATCTTGTAAGCAATTGACAAACCAAATAAAATAAATAAAAGAATAAAATTTTAAATCCAGTAATATATTCAACAACAATCAAATAGCATCTCCCAAGTACTGCTTATATAAGTATTAGTCAAGAATTAGAACTGCCCTATTATAAAAATAACATATTACAGAAAGCATTTGTAAATGTTTAGTAAAACTACTAATTATTATATTTGCTATTTCACAATTTAAAAATTTTTCACTATTAAATATTGATGACCTTTTAGGACTTTGAATCCCACCCTATTCTTCTACCTAAAAATAAAACATTGTTATCAAACAATCTTACACTAACCAGTCTTACTTGCAACTCTCCCTTTCTACACACATTACCTTCTGCTCATGGCTCCCTGTGAGCTCATTTTATCAACCCCAGACAACACCTGGAGCACTTAATTAGCCGTCATTCATTCTTTGTTAGGCAAGGAAACCCTAATACAAATCCATTTCAAGAGGAATTCTGTCATTAGGCCCAGATAGTCTATTATTTGGAGTTATCTTTAGGAGTCAATTTCCTTCCAACTGTACATTTGTTTGAAAAACTTTCAAAATTAATAATGTCAAGACTAGAAAATAGCCTTTTTTTCTCAAAGGAAAATTTGAAAAAAAGAGATGTTGTAGAAGATGTGCAATGCTTTTTGATATTAGCTGTAAAACAGTGTTTCCCAGCCTTGAGCATTGCCATTGATAAGAATCTGGCATTTTATGTCCATTACCCTGGAAATGGGCAAGGTTGGAAAACACTGCAGTAAAGTGTAAACCCACAGAACAGGTTAGCATCATGGCTATATTATCATCATAGGTTAATTGAGCTGTGTGTGTTAGGCCTTATTATTAAGAACCCACATACGTCTAATTATAGTTCATGGTTTAAGATTACATGTATCACATGACTGTGGAACGCCATCATTTCTGATTATCAACAATGACATTTGAAACAATGATTAATTAATTTCAGCTCTCGAAGTAGAAAACTCAATTATCCATGGCCCTAATTTTGTTTCATTCTTTTTACTGTTTAAATGTTTATTATGCAATTGTTTTTGTCTGCTGCATTGACTTTTTATAATGGAGTGATATAAAATGTTGTGAATAAGAAAAAAGATAAACAAGTCACAATCATAGAGTTGAGATCACATGG